ATGCATAATGTAATGCTTTGGTCACACTTTACAATAAGGTTTCATTAGTTAATGTATTTACTACACAGCAAAATCTTCTGAGCAAAATTTACTCAGTTCAGAGAGTATTTGGCCCCTCTTTAAATAAGGGCAAACATGTTGGTAATAAGTAAAGCTGCTGTTTGTGAAGTTACTTAATGATTCTCTGCTGAGATTTTGAGAGATTTAGGGTGCTTTCACACCTGACTTATTTAATTTGATTGAATCGCACTACATTTCGTTTTTCCCTTTTGGTGCGAGAATGCAGCAATCGTACTCGAGTGCGCACTAAAAGTGGACCAAATAAGCATACCGTGACCTGCTTGAAGAGGTGGTCTCGGTACGCTTTCAAACGAACCCTGGAGTGGTTTGTTTGTGGTGAGAATATGATCCGTACTAAAACAGGTCCAACCGCAAAAAGTACTGCGCCTTTTGGACTAATCCAGCTGCCGTAGGCCGATGAGCTGTGCATTATGGCATATGGAGGATCAATATTTGTTGACAGCGCTTTACCAACAGAGAGAGAGAGGGGAAAACATTACCTGATGGATCGTTGGTAATATTTCTGCAAGATGATCATGTTGCAGTTTAGCTAAATTAACACTAAATTAACACTGTTTTCCAGCCGCAGCCGCGCTTCATTCTCGAAATGTATAGTTTGTCTAAAGCAGGCATACAATCAGTCAGCGCAGTCGTCCCTCCATAGTAAAAATGACATTTTGTGTCTGCCGGTTTTGTTTACTTGCAGGAGTTCATTGGCATTTTCCCGCACATGAATTCTAACCAATCAAAAAGCAGTTTAGGATATATGTTTAATAATATCTTGCCTATAAGTGATGTGGATTTTGTCAGATGACTGCATTTTGGTTTGTTTCTACTGGTTCGGACCAAAGCCAGCAGTGCGGTGTAAAAACGACCCAAAGTCGGCAGAAAATGCAACAATGTATCATTTATTGCCCTTGGTCTGGACCAGATGAAGTGAACTACAGAATTGAAAGCATCCTTAATGTATCATCTAAGGCTGTGACTGAAGTCAGTTGTTTTATGTTTCTTTCTGTGTTTCTGTTTATTAACAGTGTGTTTATCATCAGTGCTCAATCATCACCTAATTAATGCTTTCATTGTCTCATTAACTTGAGTAACTTTAACTTAGAGAGGGACCAAATACCAAATATCTAAACTGAGTAAAATTTACTGCTGTGTACTTGTACAGCATTTATTAATCATAGTTCAGCATTTACTAATGCATTACTAACATCCAAATTCATGCTTGGTAACATTACTTAATGGACCGTTAGTTAACACAAACTAAAAGTTAACGACTTTATTTGGTAGCACTTTGGTTTAAGCCACAATTCGTGTTATTAACTACTGGTTTATTACTTGCCTGTTATTAAGATATTAACTGTTCATTAGTAGTTATAAAGTATGATTTTACTGTGCATCCCCAACCCTATTCTAAACCTAAACATACACTAACTATTCATAAACAGCTAATTAGTAGTTTATTAAGCTAGTAGTCATAGGTAATGGTTTGTTAATACCGTGAATTGGGACCTAAGCTAAAGTGTTACCCTTTATTTTCATTAAGTACCAAATACTGTTATGAATGTGTTTTGCATAGTTTGGTCACGTTAGTAAATGCATTAACTAATACAACCTTATTGTAAAGTGTTACCAATGCTTTTTGGACTATTTGCAAAAACATCATGACATACAATATCTTGAAGGATTTTTCTTGCAATATACTGTATGTCGTAAATCACAGAATCACTGGTGCTGTGATGTCGTTATCATCTGCAAGATATGAGCATTGAATCATAAGTTAAAGTCAAGCAGAGATTTCCAGTAACTTAATGTTAATGTTTCCAGAAGGATCTCCTTATGTGTGTGTGTGTGTGTGTGTGTGTGTGTGTGTGTGTGTGTGTGTGTGTGTGTGTGTGTGTGTGTGTGTGTGGAGGGATGTTGAGCCTCGTTTGTATTGGATTGTGAGGAATGTTGAATTGTTTTAGATTAGCCCCTCCTCTTCTCAGGTCTGGAGATTAATGAAACGTCTTATGAGACACGCAATTTGTCTCTGTCTGTTATCTCTGCCCAGAAGCTACTTTTTAACATTTCTGCCGAGGATGATGGAGGGAGCGAATGAGAGAGGGAGAGGGAGAGAGAGAGAGTGCAGTATCCGAATATGATGAGTTTTTCATCTTTAAGCATGTCTGTTCTCATTCAGGAGTGACACGGGCACCCGCACGGTTAATGTCGTTCTGGAGTTTTTGGTGACCTCCTGCGAAAACCCCCTGAAGACTCTGGGATGGGTTTTAACGGACGAGCTGGTTATCCTTTGAATCCACAGAACTCCTTCCTTTATCCTTTTTAAATATTAAAGCCCGGTTTAAATTAATGAATTATAGGAAACCTAGAGCGTGAATAAATGGGTGACACTGAAGAAAAGCCGTTAGCCTGATGGAGGAGAAGGAGGGAAAAAATGTCTGTGTGTGTGGACAATGTAATTGGATTATTTTTGTCTAAAAGTCGTTCATAAAAATGTTTACACTTAAATATAGAGTAAAATTGCAAGTTTACCTAAGATAAAAAAATATAATTGTAAGTCTAATATAATACATATTCATTAAAATACATATAAATTATTAGTATTGTTATTGATGTTGTTGTTGTTATTATTAGTATTGTTTAATTTATTTATTAATATTATTATTATTATTATTATTATTATTATCATTATAGCTAACAGCAGGGGGCGCTCGACCTGCAGTCTGTGTGGGTCCTTATGTCCCAGTATAGTGAAGAGGACTCTAGACTGCTCAGTGAGAGCCATTTTTCGTCGGAAACATCATCTCTGTTGTCTGTGGTCACACATTTCTACACATAATAGTTTTAATAACTAATTTCTAATAACTGATTTCTTTTATCTTTACCATGATGACATGATACTATTTTGCTAGATATTATTTAAGACCCTTCTATACATCTTAAAGTGACATTCAAAGGCTTAACTAGGTTAACTAGGCAGGTTAGGGTAATTAGGCAAGGTATTGTATAATGATGGTTTGTTCTGTAGACTATCGAAAAAGCTTAATGGGGCTAAAATTTTGACCTAAAAGGGTTGTAAAAAAATAAAAACGGCTTTTATTCTGGCTGAAATAAAATAAATAAGACTTTCTCCTGAAGAAAAGTCAGTTTATTATCAGACACACTGTGAAAATTTCCTTGCTCTGTTAATTGTCATTTGGAAAATATTTAAAAAGGAAAAAAAATGTAAAGGGGGCTAATAATTTAGACTTCAACTGTAATAATAAAAAGCATATAACCACAAAAATAGAATAATACAATAAAATAATAAAAAAATGGCTAAATAATATTTTAAATATATAAACAGTGAGTTATACAACATAGATTACATCTTGGTTAAGTAAAAAAAAAGTTAATGAAATTTAAATATTCAGATATTTTAAGAAAATCCCAAACTGTATGTGTTTAGTTAAGTTAATTTAAATTCATAAATAAAAGTTAAAGTCATTACAATAAACTTTAGTAAGGCTAGAGTTTTTATCTTCCACATTGAAATAAAGATTTTAAAACATGAAAGCAACTCAATCACTTTTCTGTGCATTTGTTTACACATAATATATCCAGGAAAAAAAGATGCAGTACACTGGCAGTAGTTTAAAGTGATGTTTTAGAAGCAGCCGCCGGAAGGAGCAGTCAGTATGAGTTGCCATATGGTTCGGTTGCATAACAGTGTTCATTTTAGAGACAATTTGAGACTATAAAGGCAAGAGAGAGGGAACCTGTTGGGAGAAAAAAACACTTAAAGATATCATTCACACCAACCTTCTTCAAGACTAATGAGAAATCTTCCTGTTGCTGTGACAATGCCGAAGAGAGAAGCAAAATTAATTGCGTACGTTGGCACGGCATTTATCAAACAGCAGGCTACTGTAATGGATACAGGCAGACAGGTGCTGTCTAAACCTCAAACCCACCAGATACCAGCAAATAACAGATATGGCGTGATTACAGCGATCCTTCACAACTGATCACCAACTGCAGTCTTCTGTAATATTTGTATACAAAATAGTTATTTATTTTAATATACAGTAAGGTCAATCAGTATTTGATCACCCTATCTCTTACTTAAAAATCATGGAGGGGTCTAGAATTTTCAGTAAGGGTGCATTTCCACTGTGAGAGACAGAATTTTAAAAAAACAATCCGGAAATCACATTGTACAGTATGATTTTTTTTAAACAATTTATTTGTAAACTACTGTGTCAAATAAGTATTACACAGAGATGTCCTGAGTGCTCCAAAATACCACCCTACCTCATCCTATACTCGTGTACAAACTTGTCTTAAAAAAACTTCTAGAGTGCAATAAAACATTCAACTTCATTTCTCACAGGGCTTTCCAGGGCTTTCAATGGCATGCAACCACAAAATCCAAAACTCTAGGACAGTGGTTCTCAAACTGTGGTACGTGTACCACTAGTGGTACGCAGGCTTCCTTCTAGTGGTACGCAGAGTAATCCAATATCAATGTCATATGTACATGCAACATATATTTCAAAATTGATCAAAAATGGTTCATATATGAATATGATGACATATAGCCTATATTCATGAGGTCCAAGCAACATTTCCAGGTTTTTATTTATTTATTTTTTTACATACACACAGTACAGTGTTAATGTTCAAACTTTTTATAATGTTTAAAGTGGCTGATAATAATAAAAATTCTTAATAATAGTAGTTAATCTGTCACGATTTTAAACTGCAGAGTTGTAGCTGCCTTACTGGGCCTACTACGCTACTGTATTTCAATACTGCTCATTATGGTGGTACTTGGAGGGACAATTTTTTTCTGAGGTGGTACTTGGTGAAAAATGTTTGAGAACCACTGCTCTAGGATGACCATCTGGTGAAGCTCAGCATCTAATGCAAGTGTGTTTGGAATTGTGTTTCAGTGGATGAGTCTGAACTGAGGAGGAAGATCACAGAAGAGCTGCGGAAAGGCCTGGAGGAGGACCGAAGAAAGACACAAGAGGAACTCAACCAGTGGTGACTATCCACATGCACACACATTTATACTGTTTATTTAATAGTTATTAAACTGCTCAGATCAGTTCTATATTGAGTGTCTGGTCAGAAAACAGTCAGAAAAACTTCCTGGCAATGGTAATATTGACAAGTTAAGTTATGGATGTGGCTCATATTGCATATTTTAGATAAGAGTGTTGAAGAGGTTACCCTGATAACCCTGATGCTAGACATGAGGTTTAAAAAAAAGAAGATATATGGGTGTAAATATTAAAATAAAGCTTAAAAATTTGTATTAAATTAAAACGTTATACAATGGTAAGTCACAACGAGACGTCCCTTTTGGTGCTCACATCCATTTCAGTTGACAAAAGTGATTGTATATGCAATATACAATATAGAAAGCATGTCAATGCACTTAAGTGTCTGCATTAAAAATATATTTAAATTAAAATTTTTGTTTAAAAAAAAAGTTAAAACATTGGTGGACAAAAACATTTCCATAATATTATTTAATATTAAATATTTTTTTATGAAAAAAAAAAACTAGTAGTAGTGTGACCTGTACTAATGTATAAAAGAATAATGAAAATTTGTAATTAAATGCTGATGGTTGTAAACTTAATAAGCCACATTTTAATGTAAAAATACAAACTATACTGTATATTATTTAGAATAAACTAAAGCTGCATTACACTTGCATTATTGTTTTGATGCTTAAACACCTGTTTCTGGCATTGATACATATAAATTATTTATTTTAACTCTGTGGAAAGGCTTTACTTAAAAGGGGAAAAAAGAAAACATGCTTGCATCACACCAAATACTACATTTACACATAGACATGTTTACTGAAAAAATGAATTAACTATTTAATGTAAAGCGGGTGAAATGTATTTTAAATATGACCCTTTGATAACAGTGATGTCAAATATTAAGTTTTACTTGAATATCTACATAAAAACACATCATGTAAATGTCCAGCAGAATTTTAGCGTATGCACAGTAACATCATTGACTTCAAGTCATTAAACACAAGTCTACATAGGGCTCGACAGATAAACCTTACCATGTCGAATCGTCATAAAATTTATGTCAATAACGATGATATGCTACGGAGATTTTTACTTTACATAAACAACAGGAAGCTGTAGATGTGTTTATAAGACACACCTGCTAGTTTTTCATGATTTTTTCCCCTTACCACACATTCCATGCAATGTAATGTAATGATTGTGAGGACGCAGGTGAGATGTCATTTTTTCGAGAGACATTCAAATATGTTAGTTGCGCTGTGTTTGCAGTGTCTGTTAGTCATGTTAAACAATTCATTGCAAACTGAAATAAATACAATTTGATTACATGATTTGAAATTTGATGTTTTATAAGATTGTTTACTTTTTTTGTGATTTAGTTTGCATTTAAATTAAGAATTTTGCAGAATTGCAAAAATTTGTGACCTTTTTGTTGATTGGATTAAACGATTGCACAATCATGAAAAACTAGGATGTTTGATTAAAGATCTGCTATGTCACCCAGTATTTAGCAAGTTCAATTCACTTCCCCACAGCAGTATTTGCTGTTAAACTGTTGCTTGTTTTAATGATGACTATTTTTACCATTTTTAATTAAGTAAAATGTTTATTTTAAAATATTTCTGTGACTGTTTATTTTTAGAAAATGAAACAAGTATATTTTTGTTTGTGTATCGTCATATGCTGTCAGTTACAGTTCTTCAGAATATTATATTTTATATTGTTTATTACTTATTAATTATCATTGTTTAGACAAAATCATAATCTCCAAAAAGTAGTAATGTGTAAACTGTTTTTGTTTAATAAAAAAAAAATCTTTAAAATGTTATTCAATGAAGTGGCTAATCTTTGTGGCTTCTGTTGTTGGGATACTCTTTTAAAGCTGGAAGCATTTACAACTTCTATCGAAATTTATGTTGTTATCGTTTAATATGGAAAAGAAACATCGAGATTGCATTTTTGCCATATCGCCCAGCCCTAGCATGTTTTCATGGTTCTGCTAACAACATGTTTAAACTAAAACATTTTTTCTCTTTCATCAATGCATCATATACACCTAAACCTAAAGGACATCTCTAACAGCTTTAGATCAGATTAACTACACGAGTGCACTGCACACTGATTTTATAATTTCAGAACAAATTTGTGTTCTCATTCAAGGTTTACAATTTTTTTTCTGTATTTTTTTCAGACATGTTCAAATGAAACATATGTTAAGTTTATGAGTCGAGGTACAAACTCTTATTTAATTGGAAGCTGTGTGCCTTAATGAAAATTTTGCCTTATCAACAGTCAAACTGGGACACACACCTGTCTGTGCTTTGTCTGGATCCATTTGCCTCTTTTCCTCAGCACATCACGCTCACTTTTTTTCCCTTCTTTCTTTCTTTTTTTTTGTGAAAGCAATTAATCATGCATGAAAGTGAGGGACTTGGAGTCATGGTGGAGTTAATTTCTTCATATGTGGTGATTTATTATCTTCCCCTGGTAAGGGCTTAGTCTTTTTTTATATTTTTGTCCTGTTCGTGGTTTATGAGTAGGCGAGTGTCCTGTGATGTTGGCCTATAATATCTCTAGATTATCTCCGGTCGTCACTTCCCAGTATTTTTAGCAGGACCTTCACTCTTTACTTATATAAAGTACAAGTTCCTTAACGACTCACTTCATTTTGTTCATCTAAAGCTTGCGATGGATGTGCCAGGGTTGAGTTTCACGTCCTTGTCAACCCCGGCATACCTCTTATACTGTTATTCTCAACAAGGCCAACACTCTGACCTGCAGAAATTGCTATTGACAGGAAGTTTATTTTCTGTCGGCCATAAAAGTAAATTTAAGGGCAGGGTGTGTTGTTTTACAGCATTGTTGTTGAGGCAACTGAAGGAAAGTGCTCCATCCCATTCGCCCCGGCACGCCATTAAGGGAAAGTAGGGGCTTTATTGACCATGATGTCATGCTTGGAAGGACAGAATCAATATTGTCCTTAATGTTGTCTTCCATTTAGCTTTCTCCAACTCCCATTTCTTCTTTCATTCTTTTTTCCCCTTCTTCCCTAGACTGTGTTGTGTTTTAAAAGTGGCTGTATGAGGTTGCAGGATTGAATTGAATGAAATTAGCCTCTGGCTTTGGGTTTGAAGACCTTTATATTGGCAATCTCAAACCTCACCTTCAGGTGGACCATTGTTTGTATGCTTTTTTTTTCCATAGTTTTGTTTCTTTCTTTGCTGATTCAGTTAGTTAGAATGGCAAGCAGCTGGTTCTAGTTTTCTTTTTTGGTTTGTTTTCTTTTTTTTGTTTTGTGTTTTGTGTTGGTCTTTCATTTGAGTTGGTTTGGTGTGCTTTTTGTTTTAGTTTCGAATGTATGACTTGTTTGGTGCATTTGTATTTATGTATCTCTTTCCCAATTCAGATTTGTAAACAATAGGGTAACTGAATTGGGGTCCGTTCTTTGTACCTCGCTTAAATGATCTAAGATGATTTGACAGATCCTGGACCTTTTAATCTTTATAACATCACTGGCTAATTTGGTTCTTCAAACAAGTTCACGATTCAGATTAAAATGTCTGGATAAACTGATCTGAGATCACTGCGTGTATTGTAAAGGACAGATCTATCGATCCTCAAAATTATGATCAGCAATCCAACGATTGGCTGACAGCACCGCAACGTAATGACATCATTAGATTAATATTCAATTGTCCATGTGAGCAAAATTCATTGCATAAAATTTGTAGTAAAAGGTTTGGTAAATATTATACGCAACAACTTTCCACCTTTGTTGTGGGCTGCAGGCTTTACACTTTGTCAAAAGTATTTTAGCAATTTACAATTTACGTTTTACATTTAGAGTGGATTTTGTCCTTTATAGTAGCCTAGGCCTATTCAGGTTTCTTAATTGGAGTAACTGGCTGTTTAAAATAATTTTGCATTAAAAAAGCATTTTAATTTGTGCAAAGTTGTCTGCAACTTTTGTGAAGCATCAAATCATCAACATATTAGCTATCAAAACATGTGCATGACTGCATAAATTATTATTCCTTACAAAAAAAAAAAAAAAAACGGTCGAATATTGTGCATGTCTATTATCATACACAAATTGTACTAAAGCTGGGTCGGTACCTTAAAACATAATGTGTTTGTATATATAAAGTCCATATTAATAAATGTTCTCTTTGAACTCCCCAGGACAGGGGTGTACACACTCAGTCCTGAAGGGCTGGTGTCCTGGAGAGTTTAGCTTTTACTCTCCTGGGGCCTCATGTATCAACGCTGCGTACGCACAAAAACTTTGCGTACGCCAGGTTTCAGGCTCAGAATCGCTCACGTTTGGATTTACTAACAATGAACTGAACGTGGGAATGTGCGCAGGTTCACGGCAGCTTTCTGGCAGGCGTACGCACATTTTTTGTGCGTGTCTGTTTTATTTCCATTGGCGACTCCTAGAGGCAGTTGTGTTAAATTCTTCTCTACAAAGTGTCTGAGCCTTGCAATGGCAGCTGTATGAGACGGGTTCATATAGTAGGTATGTAAGATTTCCATACCATACAGTTGACCAGCTAAACATTAAAGCGCAAATTGCAGCAGTCGCAATGTAATCTGAGCAATCTACCGCACACACATTGCTATAAAGACACTATCTGAAGATGAATTTGCATGCGTGAATCAGAAACATTTCCATTCAATAAATGTGCAAATAAAATATGATGCACAAACTTATTGATGATTCCTACTTGTCTTTCTCTTGATAAATAGTGGGCAAAATCTGAAATGTAGCGGGGGAAAAAAGAAGAAAGAATTTATCAGACGCTGGATTCGAGCCGAGTTTACGCTCGAATTTATCTGTACATGATCTCATGCTTCTTATGAGGTGCGCCACTGAGACCGCTTAGGGTATTGCAACATTTTTCAGTTATAAACCACACTACTTCTTTTTTAAATGCACTCAGTGCGATGTTCAGACCCAACTGTGTTAACCGTATCAGCTAAACT